CCCCCTCCTCCTTACCTCCCGAACTCCCTTATCCTTCGCCCTCCTCCCTCACCCTCCCCGAACCCCCTTACCCTTCACCCTCCTCCCTCACCCCTCCCGGAACCCCCTGGCACTTCCCCCCTCCTTCCTCACCTCACGAACTCCCTTACCCTTCGCGCTCCTCCTTCACCCTCCCGGAGCCCCTTACCCTTCGCCCTCCTCCCTCACCCTCCCACAACCCCCCTTACCTTCACCCCTTCTCCTCCACCCTCACAGGCCTCCTTACCCTTCACCCTCCTCCCTCACCCTCACGAACTCCCTTACCCTTCACCCTCCTCCCTCACCCTCACACCCTCCTTCACCCTCCTCCCTCACCCTCACGAACCCCCTTACCCTTCACCCTCCTCCCTCACCCTCACGAACCCCCTTACCCTTCACCCATTTACCCACGCCCGAAGGCCCATAATCAACTCGAATTTACATATATATACAGGTAAGGGACACGGTTTCAGGTAACCTCACAACGTGCTACTCCAAGCTTGGTCTTCATACCTGATACTTGAACCATCTCTCACCGGTACTCAACAACAACTGTCTCATGCCAGCACGAGCAATGATTAACGCCTGGCTTTATATTTCCCTCTTTCCCTTGCCCGTTATTGCATTCTTATGGATTTTGAACGTCAGACGAACTTTTGTTAACTTTTCTGCCAGCGGTAGCGATCTTTTACGGAAGGAGTCTTGGAGTTTTGCAGTTTCCCTAACTTAGTTTCTGTGGCAGTCAGCTTCTGTACCGGAGATGATACATTAAATGGAGAGAGAGAGAGAGAGAGAGAGAGAGAGAGAGAGAGAGAGAGAGAGAGAGAGAGAGAGAGAGAGAGAGAAATTTACACATTAATTACGAGTATATGTGGTGTAGAGTAGAGTGCTCCTAGTGATGGCTGATGTGTGAACGAGGAGAGACGTAGGAGAGAGGCCGCACCTGTTGTATGATATAGTTTATAGACTATTAGAGGGAGTGTTATTACTGCTGCAACTAGTGGACCAACCCAGCCAGAGGTGGTGTTTGATGTATGAAGTTGGCACACACACACACACACACACACACACACACACACACACACACACACACATTATTATATAGTTCACACAAACAAAGATCCAGATTATATTAATCAAACGTCCATACAAAAAATACACTGCTACCACTCACGTCCATACAAAAAATACACTGTTACCATACACTCACACCCATACAACATACGCCATACATCAAAGAGCAATAATAATAGTTTATAAGTGAGTTAATAAACAGAATATGAGTTGTTAAAACATTGATTTTTATTGTATGATGGACACATAACTTTTGCATGTGTTAAAGGCTTTCCTATTACGAATGAATAAATCAGTATCTCACTTTCTCTCATTATTTTTACTTTCTCCCTCGCTTTGTCCTCCTCTCTATACCTGCTTGTGTGTGTGTGATTCTCTTTCTGTCTTTCTCTATTCTTGTATGTGTCTCTCCTTCTCTGTTTCTATTAGTCTTTGTTTCTCTATCTTACTTTTCCACCCTTTATCTGTGTTTCTGCTCTCTCTCTTTCGTTATATATATTTTAATCTGCCTTATTCTCCCTCCTCTCCCCTATTGTCTGTTTCTCTTGTCTCTCTAGTTATCTCTCAGTCCCCAATCTTTATTTCGCTTTCTCTATAGTCCACTAATTTTCACGTTGAACTGCTAACACCCATCCACCTCACCTGCTAACATCCATCCACCTCACCTGCTAACATCCATCCACCTCACCTGCTAACATCCATCCACCTCACCTGCTAACATCCATCCACCTCACCTGCTAACACCCACCCACCTCACCTGCTAACACCACCACCTCACCTGCTAACATCCATCCACCTCACCTGCTAACATCCATCCACCTCTCACCTGCTAACATCCATCACCTCCTGCTAACACCATCCACCTCACCTGCTAACACCACCCACCTCCTGCTAACATCCATCCACCTCACCTGCTAACACCACCCACACCTCACCTACCTGCTAACATCCATCCCTCACCTGCTGCATCCACCTCACCTGCTAACACCATCCACCTCACCTCATTAACACCCATCCCACCTCACCTGCTAACACCCATCCACCTCACCTGCTAACATCCATCCACCTCACCTGCTAACACACCTCACCTGCTAACACCCATCCACCTCACCTGCTAACATCCCTTCACCTCACCTGTTAACATCCACCTCACCTGCTAACATCCCACCTCACCTCTGTTAACATCCACCTCACCTGTAACATCCATCCACCTCACCTGCTAACATCCATCACCTCACCTGCTAACATCCATCCACCTCACCTGCTAACATCCATCCACCTCACCTGCTAACATCCATCCACCTCACCTGTAACATCCACCTCACCTGCTAACATCAATCACCTTACCTGTTTAGTGATAAAATTATTTGACCTTTACTGTGATATGTAAGAATCTGATACGTGGAGAAGAGAGGAGAGGAAGAGAAAAAGAATGGAGGGAGGATAGGAGTTTGAAGGGATAAAGGAAAGGAATGAGGAGAGGAAAAAGGAGACGAGAATAAACGGATGAAAGAGAGGGGGAAGGAGAGGAGGATAAAGGGATGAAGTAGAGGAGGGAAGAGAAAAAAAGAAGGAATGAAAGAGAAGTAGAGAGGATTGGGAGAGACTTCGATAAAGTGCCATAAATTTGTTAAAGTTATTGATGGTTGAGGAGTCTAAGGTCAAGGCCTCCCATCACCTCCAATGGCTCGACTTTTATCGCACAAAATTAAGGAAAAAATCACAAACACACACACACACACACACACACACACACACACACACACACAAGCAGGCAGGCAGGCAGAGAGAGAGACACACATACACACACCGGCGGGCAGTAAGTATGAAGGAAGGAAGGAAGGAAGAAGGAAGGAAGGAAGGAAGGAAGGAAGGAAGGAAGAAGGAAGGAAGGAAGAAGGAAGGAAGAAGGAAGGAAGGAAGGAAGGAAGGAAGGAAGGAAGGAAGGAAGGAAGGAAGGCAGGCAGGCAGGCAGGCAGGACGATCATTTTAACAGCTTCAATGGCTCCCAGTGTAGTGTGTGTTATGTGTCATCCGGGGATTTTTTTAACGCCATCTGTTGCATGATTCTCTGGACAAGTGAGCCACGTTGTCCTCTGTCACGGCTCTACCCTCTCGCCTCACTCAATCTAATATATACATTTGGATTCATTGATATATTCCGCGGGAGGGGAGGGGAGGGGAGGGGGGTGAAATATGTTACTCACCAGAAATGTCAACAGAAAGGAATACACAGCAAACTAGCTGGGTTGGGTTGGGTTGGGTTGGGATGGGTTGGGTTGGGTTGGGTTGGGCTGGGTTGGGTTATAATAAATTCACATCGGTCTATTCAACAAAACACAACAAAAGAAGACTCAAGACTCACATCAATGGCATAAAGTCCCCGTGAATATTATACAAAAAATAAAATGAAAAACTCCCGCTTACTTGGTTGAGAGAGGACAAAAGAGGCCTTATGACTTAGGTATTTATAAGACTTTTTTAATTTGCCTTCAATAGAGACACACAGGGTTGTCAAGGCCAGCAGAGACCACCAGATGTTATTACCGGATCTTAAGCCTCTTGTCTGTCCTTAATGAAACCTGACAGATGCCTTAACCTGAGGGGGACAACGCCAGATGGAGGGAGAGAACGTTAGATGATGGAGGGAGAGAACGTTAGATGGAGGGAGAGAACGTTAGATGGAGGGAGAGAACGTTAGGTGACGGAGGGAGAGAACGCCAGATGGAGGGAGAGAACGTCAGATGATGGAGGGAGAGAACGTTAGATGGAGGGAGAGAACGTTTGATGGAGGGAGAGAACGTTAGGTGACGGAGGGAGAGAACGCCAGATGGAGGGAGAGAACGTCAGATGATGGAAGGAGAGAACGTTACGTAGAGATAGATAATGGTATAAAGATAAATTCAGACGTACTTTAGAAAACCAGGAGAGTAAAAAGTGTAAGCAAATGGAGACAGAAAACGCCCAAAAAGTTATAATAATGACGCGGATTTTTTTTTCTACCAGAGTACAATTTGTCGTGATTTAAGTCTGACAACACGGAGCGAGCGAATGTGTAGAGTGGTTTGTGTAGTTTGTCCCTTAGTGTTACTTTCATATATTTTTTTAATGGCGGTGGTGATGGTTGGTTGTGGTAGTGGTGGTGGTGGTGATAGTGATAGCATAGGTGGTGATGACAGTGTAGATTGTGGTGGTGGTGGTGATTGTAGTGGTGGAGGTAGTGGATAGTCATTGTGGGGGTGGTGGTGGTGGTGGTGATTGTAGTGGTGGAGGTAGTAATAACGATTGTGGTGGCGGTGGTGGTGGTGGTGGTGGTGGTGGTGGTGGTGGTGTGGTGGTGGTGGTGGTGGTGGTGTGGTGGTGGTGGTGTTGGTGGTGGTGGTGGTGGTGGTGGTGGTGGTGGTGGTGGTGGTGGTGGTGGTGGTGGTGGTAGTAGTGGTGGTGGTGATGGTAGTAGCAGTAATAGTAGTGATTATAATGAAGATGATGATGATAATGATGCATAATCACATTAATAATGACAAGAGAAAATTATGATAACCAAGATAATAATAATAATAATAATAATAAACCTTTATCAACATGTAAATCATAACAAACAATAACACTCATCACTTATTTATGCTGATAACTCATTTCTCTATCTCTCAATCTCCCTCTCAGTCTCTCCCTCCGTAGAAGAAAGTATTGGAGGAAATGTATCGTTTATCTCACTGTTTCTATATCTCTCCCTACCCGTGTAGCTTACTAATTAGTAATCTCCCATTCTTTCTCTCTGTCTCTCTGTCTCCCCTACAGAAAATACTACACCAGATGAACCCCTCGGGATTATAGTTCTCTGTCTCTCTCTCTCTCTCACTAAAACAAATTAATCAAGCTCTTTCTCACTCACTGTCTCTCATCTACAGAAAGTGGTGCAAGAGATGAACCGGCTGGGGATGATGGTGGACCTCTCACACGTGTCCACCAAGACCATGAAGGACACCCTAGACGTCACGGAAGCTCCCATCATTTTCTCTCACTCCTCCTCCCGCGCCCTCTGTAACAACCCCAGGAATGTCCCCGACGATGTCCTACTACAAGTGGTGAGTCCTACACGACGACCCTTGGTGCATGGTGAAGGAGAGGGGAATAAAAAAAACAGGAAGAAGGGAAGGGGAGAGGGTGGAGGGAGGGGAAAGAAAAACAGGAGGGCTGGGGAGGGAAGGAGGGGGGGAAGAGAAAGCAAGGAGTGAGGGGTGGGGAGGGAAGGAGAGGGCGAGAGGAGACGGGACGGAGGGAGGGGGAGATACATTTTAAAGGATTGGTCTCGATTATGGTGAGTCTTACACGATCCTTGGTGCTTGGGGAGAGGGAGGAGGGGAAAACAAGGAGGGAGAGGAAGTAAAAAAAAAAGGAGAATTATCGAGAAAAACAAAGGAGGGATGGAGAAGAAAGGAGAACAAAAGGAGGGAAGGAGGGAGGGAGGAAAAAGGAGAAGGGAGGGATAGAAGAGAGTATCGACGATTGTGTTTCGCCTTTTTGGTGAGTCCTGAGGGAAGAGAGGACTAAGAAAAGAGGGAGAAAGAGGAAAAGGGGAAAGATGAAAGGGAAGGAGAAATATTAAACTTGAGACATGTTTTCGAGGACGTCCTGCCTCAGGTGGTAATCTGGCAGGAAACTGGGTAGCGAGAGAGGGAAGGAGGGAGATGGGAGGAAAAGGCAAGGACAAGGACGGAGGGGGAGGAAAGGAAGGAGAGGAAATTTTCTTTGGGAACCTAATGACAACAGGGAACATCGAAAGAAAGAAAGAAAGAAAGAAAGAAAAAATAAAGAAAGAACAAAATCAAGAAAAAAAATCACGTGAAGAAGAAAAGAACAAGACTAAAAAGAATAAGAACAAGAAATAAAAAAGAACATCAAGAACAAAACGAACAAGAACAAGAAGAACAAGAATGAAGATAAGGTTAAACGACAGAAATCCTGGCACCGAAGTCCTACAGAACGTAACAAGTCCTACAGGATACTCGGTAAGGAGTGACGGAGCGAGAGAAGAAAAACAGAGAGACCGAGGAGGGAAGTGAACGTGCGGAAGGAAGGAAGGAGTGAAGGAGGGAAGGAAGAACGAAGAAAAACATCTCCCAACGACATCCTGTGGCAGGCAGCAAGTCCTATAGGAACCTGGGCGGGGAGGGAGGGAGGTAGGGGAGGGGGGGGGAGAGAAGGAGATAGTGGGAAAAGGAAGACAGGAGAAAGAAAGAAATGAATAGTGGATGGAGTGGATGGATGAATGAATACATAATTACATAAAATGGATAAGCCGATTGAGAAATAAATAGAAGACAGACAGACAGACACATTAATTTCTTTCATTTGTTGGATAAAGTTGGACAAGTAGATAAGCAAACCTGTAAGAGATATACAGTACAGATATTGTGAGGAAAACTGGCAGGCAGAGAGAGAGAGAGAGAGAGAGAGAGAGAGAGAGAGAGAGAGAGAGAGAGAGAGAGAGAGAGAGAGAGAGCTCAGGTACCCCAAAAAATAGGTAGAAATCTCAAGAGGCTCATATGATTATTTTTTCTCATAACTTCAGCTGTAAGATCTATTTAATTGGATCCCCAATACACAAAAGATTGAATTTCAGAGGCCCTACAGGCTGACTCCCCCATAACTTGGAGGTATATAACTTCTCTACCCCCACCCCCCTTCATCTCACCTCATACCTCCTTTGTTTCAACACGTAGTTAATGACAAAAAAAAATACCTTTACAATAACATCAAAAAACTATCGTAAGTTATTAAATTCTTGGAATCGCAGTTAAGCGAGAAAAAAAAACTTACTGTACGACTATCTGAAATTATTCCAGGTGTGTGTTATTTACAGTGTGATGTTGACCAATGGTTGCGCTTGTCTCGTGGTTGGTAGTTGTTCTAAATGATGGTTGTTGGGGTGTTGTTGGTTGTTACTGTTTATCTTGATGGAGGGAAACATTATCTTGGTCTTGTTCTCCTTCTTTATCGTTTTCGTTTTTCTGTTCGTTTTAGTTCTCTTTCTCCATCCATAGACTTCTTCTTTTCGTTCTTCTTCTTCTTCCCGTTTTCCTTCTTCTTCTTTTTATTCTCGTTCTTCTTCTGTTTCTTTTTTCTTATTATTATGTTTTTTTATTTTTCTTGTTCTCATATTTATTATCGTTCTTCTTCTTCTCTCAAACAATTAACAGTAAATCATCACTCTTTCAGTTCTGGTCCGATTAACTTGAAACCTGTCAGAGTCTCGCTTGGGTCCAATATATTTACCTATTTTACCCTTTTTAAAGACTTTACGTGTCAATAAAAAAACTATGCTGTGGTTATATAATTTTGATGTATAATTCTGACATTTGTATTTCTGTAATGTATAATGTATCGTTATATTGTATTATGTATTGTTGTATTGTATTATTTCCGTGTGTATATTTCTATTGTTGTGGTGATTATAATGAATTGTGGTAGGGCTTATTGTTACGGTGTTGTATTGCTCGATCACTGCTCCCTGACGACTGTTATGCCAGGGTGGTTTGCTCGTAACGAGGGTGTCAATTGTTATGTTGGCTTAGATAGGGTAGTTCGGGGTGTGATTACATCTCGGGGAACGTTGTACCGTAGCTAAGGGATATTGCTAATGGTATAAGAGAGAGAGAGAGAGAGAGAGAGAGAGAGAGAGAGAGAGAGAGAGAGAGAGAGAGAGAGAGAGAGAGAGAGAGAGAGAGAGAGAGAGAGAGAGAGAGAGAGAGAGAGAGAGAGAGAGAGAGAGAGAGAGAGAGAGTAGATTGAAGCTACGGTTATATATTGAAGTTCGTTATCAGTCGCCAAATATGATATTACCGAAAAACTTGCAGGGGGAAACACACAGCCTTGAGGTACGCTCCATTTGCTAAACACATTGGAAAACGAATAGAACCCAGGGTCCTTCATCTTGGGTTAAGAGGTATGGGATGGGGATGGGGGTGGGGGTGGGTGGTGGGGGTTCGAAGTGCGGGTGGGTGGGTGGGGGGGGGGGAGTCGAACTGGAATGAGGTTAAATAAATTCCTCTTGTGATACTGTGAACGAAAGAGTCAGCGTTAGTATTCAGAGAACTTGTTGACGCAGTTGAAAATTACAATAACAAGTCTGTGGTCCGTCTGCAGCTTCAGGAGTGTTGTGGTTGGACATGAAAGAAGGTCTGATGGAAATGAAAGAAGCAGGAGACCAAAACACTTCAAAGAGTCATGGCAGAACGACTCCCAAGCCAAACTTTCCGAAAGGCCTTTAAAATATTTAAAAGAAACATTATAAGATCCACAAAAGTTTTCGAGAGAGAAGTCAAAAGTTGTGAGTCAGGTGTGAGAAGCAACTTGTAATAGAATGAGGAGAGCGAAGGTCTCACTGTATATTTGAGAGTCAATCTTATCCCTCAACAAGGAGAAGTTTTCTTTAAGTCTCTGGTGAATTTTCTGACTATTTTATCTTGAAGTCCGTAACTCTTTTATTCGTGTTTAATTATAAGTCCAAAGAGTCTTGAGAAGAGAGAGAGAAAGATATATAATGAATAGAAAATAAAACAGTGATGGGCGTAATAAAACAAGCCTTGTGAGTTAGTCAAGAACAACAACTACTGAGGCACAATGTTTAACAGCTAAGAGTTGAAGGACAAGTCGTGCAATGTGTGGGCGACTCGTAGGTGTCAAAGACCTAGTAAGAACCAGCCAACCAACAGCATTAAGTGGCGGTCATAAAGGGATGCTTCATGTGATTGGGACGTGGAAGAAGACGAAAGCTAGGATCAAAGTTCAATTTTCTGCATCTTGGAACCTGGAAGATTTACATGTTCCTTGAGAGTGGCTGCGGCGGTGGTGGCGGGGAATGGATTAAGGCGAACAAATTGTGTTATCATTAGGTTGAAAAATATTATGGGAAAATAATTTGAGTTCAGGATTAGGATGGTTTTTCACTTTTTTTTTCTTTAATGTTCCACTGAGGGTAATTGAAGAGGTGTTATGTCTTTACCTTGGTAGTGCCGCTGTCACCTTCCTCCCCCGACCATTAACCACAACCTCGACAAAAAAAATAAATAAAAAAATAAAAAAGAACGAAATGCCCTTCACATTACAAAGATTGTTTTATACTGAGTTCCCATTGATTTGATTGGCTTACCATCATGGTTCGCTTATTCCCTCATGAAAGCTGTTTTTTTTCTGATTTGTTGAGCAATTTCTTATCAGGACGTCGGTGGTGAAGCAATCACTGCCTGAGAGACGCTTTCTTTAGAGTTTGTTTCTTGGAACTGTTGTTGTTTTGTTGTTGATAAAGATGACATTCTGAAAGTAATTTGTGGTGCTTTAATGTCTTTTTGTTTTGTTTTAATTGTCTGGTATATCCTCCCTGGCTTGGCCTAAAGTGACTGGTATTAAGAGCAACACAGACTTGGTCTCATGTGTTCCCCTCTGTGACCGCCTTACCAGATGACAAGTGACAGCTGCGATGCGTCAACTTACAACAGCAAAGTGACGAGTAGATGAAAATGTTGGCTTAATACAGGTATCAACACTAGATTATGAGGAAGAGCAAGAAGACGATGATAATTAAGAAAATGACGATGATAGTTAAGAAAATGACGATGATAGTTAAGAAAATGACGATGATAATTAAGAAATTGGCGATAATAATTAAGAAAACGCCGACAAAGTTGACCAATAAGAAGAAAAATATAACAAAGAAGATGACGAGAAAGAACAACATGTAGACGAAGAAGAAGAAAAAATGACAACAAATCAGACAATAACAACCAGATAAAGAAAAACAAAAACAAAACAAGTAACTTGGGAATTCACAATAATGAACACACAGATAAACACAACAACAACAACAACAACAACAACACTAAAACAACAAAAACAGCAAAATCTCTCCAAAAGTCGAAACAAAATAAAACTTCTGAAATCACACCCAAACTCCCACAAACTGTAAGCCACAGGATAGCGACGAAAGAAAAAAAATAAAAAAAATAAAAAACAAAATACCGACTTACTTTTACTTGATGTGAAAGCAAAACGCAAGGGAGTTTAAAGTTTATGAAAGTGAAACGAAACTCTGGATAATTTTTGTTTCCCTCCCTCCTAGTTAAGAGAAGATCAGGCGAAGGTAAACAAGAGACTAAGGCGTTCATGGGGTGAGGATTAACGGTGAGAATAAGGCGTGCACTGTGTAGCTACTCTCCCCCTCCTCATCATCTTCATTCAGCATTTCGACATAAAAAAACATGTACCTTTAAAAAAATAAAATAAAATACAGTACACTCGTTTTTTTCTCTCTTCTATTTTGTCTTTCTTACTTCGTTCTTTGTGTCAGATTAATTTAATTTCGGATTTCTTTTGTCTTTTTTTTTTCATTTCGCTGTTTTTCTCGGACATTTTTATTTATTTCTATTTTGCTTTTCTCTTTTTTTTTTACAGGGATTTAGTTTTCCTTTGGATGTTATTTAAGGTCTTCTTAGGTGGGTTTAATTCCATTTCAAAGACCTTTCCTTGAATTCAATGTTTTTTTTTTTCCTTACTTAACCAGAGTTTATTTCCAAGTCATTCCTGAGTTCTATTTCCTTTTGTAAAAGTTCAAATCCATTCCCACGTCAGTTCGGAGTTTTCTTCTTTCTCAGGAAGTTCGTTTCTGTTTAAATATTTCCACACATTTTTTCCCCTCCCCGAGTCCTTTGTACGAAAATATAAAAAATTCTTTCTCGAGTACTTTTTTCCTTTTCCACCATTATCATGTCTGGGATGTCTTGAGCAGAGTAGAGTACTATGTTATAATTACTTTTCATTTTGGTGGTTTTAATAAGTCCGCGTACTACTCTTCAAGAGGTAAAAATGTCTTTATTTTTTGTCGAATTTTCATTTTTTGCGATTTTCTTGTATAAGCTTGTCTTCTTTTTTCTTTAAGATGGACTGAGTTCATTGAGAGGGTCCAGAATGTGTAGGAATATAATATGTTGTTGTTTTTGTTGTTGATATTATTATTATTATTATTGTTGTTTTTGTTGCTGCTGTTGTTGTTATTAATATTGTTGTTGTTATGGTCAATGTTGTTATTATTAATATTTTTGTTGTTGTTGTTATGGTTAATGATGTTGTTCTCTGTTCTTGTTATTACTGTTGCTGATGTTCTCGTTGTTCTGGCTCATGTTTTAATGTATATGCGCTATTAATTTATTTAACTCCTTTCACGAAGACAGTTTTTGCACATGAAAAAAGTGACTACGTGAAGATTAGGCATCCCAGTTTATTTCACCTGATGATAAAACACCCAAACTTAACCTAACCTAATCTAATCCAACCTTACCTAACCTAACATCTAAAGTAACAAAACCTAACCTAACAATCAAATCAAATCTAATCTAACCTAACCTAACCTAACCTAACAATCTAATCTAACGTAACGTAACGTAACCTAACAATCTAACGTAACGTAACCTAACCCCCCAAAGTAGCATTAGGGTGTTTAATCAGGTGAAATTAGCTAGGGTGTCTAATCCTCACCTGATCTGACAACAATTAATGAAAATAAAATATCCGAACAATTTCTCGTTAACACACAAATAATTGGGTCATTTGTAACTATTTAGACAATCAATTAAACAGTCAATATGTATTATATAAATCATACAGGCACCATGTATACAGTATACAGTGTACCGTAATGATATAGAAGATATTACCATCCTATGAACAGACGATCAGGTCAATGAGCAGATAGAGTTGTGGATACTAAGAAGAGTATGTGAATAGACAGATAGATGGACTGACAGACACAAATAGACAGATAGATGGACTGACAGACACACACACAAACATCCTTCTCACCTGAAAAATACTGAAAGTAAACATTCGCCATACTATCAGACAGACAGACAAAGAGACGAATGTTCTTCCTTCTTCCTATTTCTTACACTTGTTTCTTAACCTGACTGAAGGGAAACTTTCTAAGCTCCTCAGAGGGGAAGTTGGTAAGACTTGTTTTCAGCGACGAGAGAAAGCTTAGTAGGGTGAATAGTGAGGCGAAAGCTTACTTCATTGAGTAGTGAGGAGAAAGCTTCTTTCAGCGAGGAGAGTAATGGGGGAAGTTTATTTCAATGAAGAGAGCAATATGGGAAAGCTTCTTACATTGACGTGAAACTTTCTTCACCTGCGTAAGACTTTCCTCATGAAAAAAAAACTTGCCTCATCTACGTAAAAATTTTCCCATAACGTAAAACTTGCCTCATGAAGTCAGCAGTCGCCTCACTGAGAGACCGCTAAACTGCCTTAAGGATTAGAATGGTTAAGACATGTTGTTCTCTCTCCTTTCAGAAACGTAACAGAGGCATTGTTATGGTGAGCTTCTATGCCGACCACGTCAGCTGTAGTGAGACGGCTAATGTGACCCATGTGGCCAGTGAGTAGCTTATTACTGTTTATCATTATCTCTTTCTCTGTATCTCTCTGTGACACCACCTATCTCTCTCTCTATCTCTCCGTCTCCCTCCTCTATCTCTTTGTCTCCCTCTCTATAAATCTCACAGTATACATCTCTCTCTCTCTCTCTCTCTCTCTCTCTCTCTCTCTCTCTCTCTCTCACCTTACCTCTCTGTGTAATTCTCTCATGGCTTTTCTTGCTTTCTCTCTTTTTCTCCATTGTTCTGTTTCTCCCTCTCTCTCTGTTTTCCTTTTCTGTCTATCTGTCTGTCTCTTCTTGCCTCCGATTTTCTCTATTTCTTCTTCTTCTTCGTGGTCCCAAAAGTTTACAACATTTCTTGCTATCTGTCAATACCACACGATTCTAACTATTTGTTTATCTCTCTATCTCTCCTTCAGTTCCCTCTTCTTTTCCTTTTCATTCTCTCACATCTTTGCTAAAATAAATTCTCTTCTTCTTTATTCCCCTCCTTCTATCTAAAGACCCGTTTAGCTGTCAAGACTCTCATCTTTACTTAGCTGTCTGTCTGTCCGTCTCTTTCAACCATTTTTACCACCCTCTTACTCCATCTTTCTTTTCCTCCTTCATTCCCTTCTTCTACTGCTATATTCTTTCTTGCATAACTTTATCAACAAACGCTTTCCGCAAGGGTCAATCACATGTCGATAAAATACATGTTATCTCTCTCTCTCTCTCTCTCTCTCTCTCTCTTCTACTACTACTCGATCTCTCTCCTCCTCTTACTTTCCTTCTCCTCCCTTGATATTCCTTCTCATGCTACTTTGCCAAGGAGAAAAATTCCGCTAGGCTCATTTGGCAATCGATTCACAACCTTTCCTTCTCTCCTTTCTCTTTCTACTTCACATCTCTCCTATTCCTCCTTCTCCTTGTCTTCCTCCTTCTCCTTGTCTTCCTCCTTCATCTCCTCCACCCACCTTCCTTCTCATAACTTTGCGGTCGGCCAATTTAGCTGCCAATACAAGAAATCTGACTGTCTCTCTTCTCTCTCACACCTTCCATCCATCCTTCCTAGCTTTCTTCTAATCCTGCCACCTTTCCTTCCTTTCTTCCTTCTCCTTCCATATTTTCGTCTCACACAACTCTACCAAGAAGGAGGAACTTTCCGCTAGGCCCATTTAGCTGTCAATACCACACGGGTCCGAGCAGCTACACAATCGAACCACTGTCAAACGCACGTAAGAAATACAAAGGACAAGCTTTTAACACTAGCGAGTCCTTGAGTTGCGAAGTGGCCGATCAAAGGGTAAGGAGGCGAGGGTGAATAAATAGATATGTAAAGGTGGATTAGACAGTTAGATATGAGTGATGGATTAGGTGGATTAAGGAGTTAGAGATGTGGAATTACATGGATGGATGGATGGAGATAGATAAATGTTGTAGGTAGAAAGATAGATAGGATTGAACAAATTGTTTACAGTTCATGCACAAATGATGAAAAATATATAATTGAAAGGTGAAATATACAGTGCGTTCACAAGTGATAAAAAATATAAGATTAATGAATAAATTGTACACGGTGGGTTCAATGCGAATGAAAAATATAAAATCAATGAATATCTTGCAGACAATGTATTCAGAAAAGTTGGAAAAAATATAAATAATGAATGATTTTGTAGAAAGGACATTTTAGTTGATGAAAAAAACCTGCCTGAAGTGGTGGTGTGGCTGACGACCGTGACAAAACAGGTAAAGAAAAATCGACAGAAAAATACAGGTGTATTTTTGAGAGGTGCGTTCATAGTTGATGGAAAAAGATACGGACGAAATGTTATAGGGAGTGAGTTTCATATATATGAAATAGATAGAAATGGAATGTGAAATTGAATGAGTTTGGTGGTGATGGAAAGGACATGAATGGGGAGCTACAGTCACGTGTGGTGTGACCTGATGGAATGTATGTGTGTGTGTGTGTGTGTGTGTGTGTGTGTGTGTGTGTGTGTGTGTGTGTGTGTGTGTGGAATGTGTGTGTGTGTACGTTTAGATATTAAATTGAACAAAGGCTTAAATTTATTGAGAAAAAAAACACAATGTACACGGAACACTTTGATGAACTTCGTTGAATTATATGTGGAAATGGAGTCAGTAGATAATGAAATAAAGATTAAAAGCAGCGTTAGTAAGGGGGTTGGTCATACGTCTAGCAGCGAATGAAATGAGACGCAGTTGCAAAAAATTCTCAAGGCGGCAGGAAATATTATGATTCAGCCAGTCAAGTAAAACAGGCATCGGGCTGACTTACGCAAGAAAAAAAAAAAACAATAACATCCCACAAAAGAAAGACTAATATAGTTGAGAAAAAATTAATGGAAATAAAAATAAAATCCCGTAGAAACCGAATTTAACAATGTAAATAAAATATACCAAAAAAATATTAGAGAAAAAAAAATTCAATAAGACAATTTACAAGAAAATAATATATATGGAAAACGATTTTGTATTTAATTATGAGTTCTAGAAAAAATAAATAAAATTTGTAGCTAGTGTAGTAGAAATAGAGTTTAGAATTTAAATGTGAAACTTACAGAAAGATACGAAGAGATTTGTGAGTAGGAATCGTATTTACATTTGATTGGAAAAAGTGAAGAAAGGGCAAGCAAAGACGGGTAAAGGTTTCAATGCAATAGTGAAGGAAAAAAAATGATATGCAGAAATGCTTTGACACTGAGGAGGAAATGTTACCCGGAGGACAGAACTCAAACACAAAGGAATGGGGGAGAGAGAGAGAGAGAGAGAGAGAGAGAGAGAGAGAGAGAGAGAGAGAGAGAGAGAGAGAGAGAGAGAGAGAGAGAGAGAGAGAGATTGATCTGAGATGAAAAGGGGTCTTGGTGACGAGAGATAGATAGATAGATAGATAGATAGATAGATAGATAGATAGATAGATAGATAGATAGATAGAATGGCAGATAAGGAGCGAAAGATAGGTACCTGTAGATAGGGAGAGATAGATAGGTAAACAGGTGAGAGGTAGATAGATAAATATATAGGTGGAAAAATAGATATAGATAAATATAGATAAATAGATACATAGATATAGACAGATGGAAATAAAGATAAATTGATAGATTAGTTAACAGATAAATACTTTAAGAAAAAATAAGACATAAAAAAAAGTAAATATTTAAGAGTAAAGAAAAAATTAAGATTACGAAGAATTAATAAAACAAGAAAACTTAAGAAATGAAAAAAATATAAAGAAATTTCATAAATGTTTTAGAGAACAAAATAATTAAAAAAATAAGATGAAACGCCAAATAATGTAAAAAGACGATAAATTGAAGAGTAAAACAGAAATTTATGACTTGAAACTTAAAAATGAGAAACAAAAAATCAAACGAAAAGAAAAACAAAAGAAAACAACAATAGAATATCATGAAATTATTAACAAGAAACCTACGAAAAATCAAGAAAATTATAAAACTTTACAAAAATAAAACCTCGAAACGACAAGAAATTTAAAATAGATTAAAAAATAAGATGAGAAAACTTAAAAGAAAACGAAAAACTCCATAAATTGAAAAAAGAAAAAAAAACTTTAAACGAAAAAAAAAATACGACTAAAAAATATTAATAAAGATCGTCTCTGGTGTAGTTAAATTTGCCTTTAGTGGCACTGAAGACTTCAAAGGCGATAAAATATTCAGCGACCAAAAAGGAGGTTAACTCAGGTCTCGGGGTCAGGTCAAAGGTGAAGGAGGGAGGTATATACTGTATTATGCATAGCCGGTCGAGAGAGAGAGAGAGAGAGAGAGAACCACAATATCTCGTTCATCACAAATCAATAAATAAATACGTAAATCAAAGCAACAGCCATAACAAAATGAATAAACATGAGGAGAAAAGGAATTTTTTCCATCGTGAATAAATAATTTTATCCTCCACAGGTTGATTGTTATGATTTTACCTGTACTTTATAGGGATGTACGTGTTTCTACAGATGAGCTACTGAACACGTTCTCTTAAGTAAGTTTCTACACGAGACAAAAATTTTCTAAGATTACGGACGGTTGTACCTGGAAAGACTGACGTTAATGTCAACTTGGTCAGCAAACTTCCTTTAGGAAACCGAAACTTATATTTAAAATAGATTATAGAATTTTGCGTCATTTAATATATATTTTTTATGGTAATTTATTTGCACAATTTTCAAAGGCACACACACACACACACACACACACGGGAGAAACATGGCCTCATATTTCTGGATAATTCCCAGGTTTTAATCTCTCACATGAAAGAGCATAAACACGATGGATCGGTTTCCTCCTGGCAGCGTTGGGTCTCGTATCATTTTGTTTCATTAGGATTTATAAATAGGATTAAACCTTACATAATTCTCTACTGGACATTCCGTTCTTATATACATTAATTTCTTTTTCATATATCCTCGTCTCGTATTGTGAGTCCTGATAGTAATTTGTCTCGACCTCTGAGCATCTTTTCATAATGGTGTATATTTATTTAATTCTAATATGTTGTTTACCTCATTACCAATTACATCATATTATTTCATTATGGCTGTACCTTCAGAGATAAATAAACAGTCACACGCTTGTAGTGTCTAACTGCTCTGGCTGAGAGGATGACAGCTCTCATCTCCTGTTCTGAAGGTCGCGTGTTCGTTTCCCGGGCATTCCTAGTCCACCCAGCTGTATATGTGTACCGAACATTATAGGTGTTGGTGTGTGAAGGTGGTCAAGTGCAGTGCCGATTGGCTTAGTATACAGTACAGTAAAACCCCCATATAACGAACTTCTATCTCCATATAATCCGTTAGATCGGGGTTTCACGTCTAATGGGCCCTCGATATAACAATCTTTTATCTCTATATAATTCGTTAAAAGGAGGTTTTATATCTAACGGACTAACGATATAACGGATTCTCTTTTATATACAGTTCGTTCAACAGAGGTTTCACTGTATGCTGCATCCACACTGCCTTTGAGACTCACTTTAACTTTTACGAGGGGTGGATTTGAGAGAGGATCATGGGGGTGTGGGTATGGAAGACGATCATGGGGGTGGGTATGGAAGACGATCATGGGGGTGTGGGTGTGGAAGACGATCATGGGGGTGGGTATGGAAGACGATCATGGGGGGTATGGAAGACGATCATGGGGGGTGTGGGTATGGAAGACGATCATGGGGGTGTGGGTATGGAAGACGATCATGGGGTGTGGGTATGGAAGACGATCATGGGGGTGTGGGTGTGGGAAGACGATCATGGGGGGTGTGTGGGTGAAGACGATCATGGGGGTGTGTGGAAGACGATCGTGTGGGTGAGAAGACGATCATGGGGGGGTGTGGGTGTGGATGACGATCATGGGGGTGTGGGTGTGGACGAGAAGACGATCATGGGGTGTGGGTGGAAGACGATCATGGGGGTGTGGGTGTAGAAGACGATCATGGGGGTGTGGGTGTGGAAGACGATAATGGGGGGTGTGGGTGAAAGACGATCATGGGGGTGTGGATGTGGAAGGCAATCATGGGGGTGTGGAAGACGATCATGGGAGTGTAGGTATGGGAGACGATCATGGAACAGCTCACACACTCTTCTGACACACCTAAACGTATTTGAACGAGCCAAGCGGAAATTCTAAATCAACTTTGTGTTTTTTTTTTCAAGAGCCAAGTTTCGAATTAAGACAACAAACTTCAGAAACGCTGTTGACATTACCCGAGAGTACAGCTTTCAGTCGTCGTAAATTCCTAATTAAATTTGGATTGTAAGCCGGGAAGTTTTTTGAGGTGGTTTTTTAGAGGGTCATAGGGTAGGAGGGATGGTTAGGTTAGGGTAGGAGGGATGGTTAGGTTAGGTTAGGTTACGTTAGTAGGGAAGATTAGGTTAGATTAGTTTAGGAGAGGAGGGAAGGTTAGGTTCGGGGAAACTTCTATTAGTTGGGGGGCAGCATTCATGAGTGAGGGGCAGTATTCATGAGCGGGGGGCAGTATTCATGAGTGAGGGGCAGTATTCATGAGTGGGGGGCAGTATTCATGAGTGAGGGGCAGTATTCATGAGTGAGGGGCAGTATTCATGAGTGAGGGGCAGTATTCATGAGTGGGGGGCAGTATTCATGAGTGGGGGGCAGTATTCATGAGTGAGGGGCAGTATTGATGAGGCGTGGTAATGAGAGAGGGCAGGTCATGGGTTGAATACTTGCCATCACCGGTCATAACCTTCAGGCTACATCATATATGACATTGTTCAGGCCGAGGCACCTGCTGGGTATTCAAGTATTCACACTTTTATTGCCAATTTAGTTTATTCACTGTTGTACTCTAAATTATTATTAACAAAGTGATAAATTATATTACCTTTACAGTAAATTATATTTTTAAACACTATGATGTACTTTCATAGTTGTTATACACGTATTCATACACATAAATATACTTTTACGGACTGAATCATACTTGTTATTGTAAATTAAATTTTCTGTGCATTCCAGTGTTCGTATAAACCGGCAACTAATTATATATTCATACACAGAACTGCAATTTCCTGAAGAAGATTAGATTTCTATACCCTTAATTATATTTTCATACTCTTATCTACATTTTTTCAAACGTACAATAATCTTGCGCACACAACAGGGTTCATCCAGACACTACACCGTATAATTCGTCGGTTTTATTCCGGATTAGTCCAACAAGATGCGTCTTTTACCAGAATATACATTACCACTTATAATTGTTTTACAGATAAGGTAATGGGGAAGCTGTCTCTTACTGTCCTTGTGAATAACGCTGCTTTAAACTTGGAATGAAACAGAAGGAAATGTTAAAATTATATGTGGAGAGAGAGAGAGAGAGAGAGAGAGAGAGAGAGAGAGAGAGAGAGAGAGAGAGAGAGAGAGAGAGAGAGAGAGACCCATCCTGAGTCTCCATTACTCAAATAAACTCCGCTGCTTCCACTCAAACGCAGGAATCGAACCTGAGAGCTTAAGTGATGTAGCGGTTCTTTCATGCATACAAGAACCTCTCTGTAAGACTTAGACGAGCTAAAGTTCGCCTGGCGTATCTTCTCTCTTCGTGCGAGACCAGAAGCTTCGAGTACGACAGACGAACTTTCTCCCGTCATTGCAATCAATCAAGCAACATCAGTGAACGAAGACCTCAGCTCAGAAGACAACACGAGGAGACCGGGTGAGGGTGGTTGTGGAATGTCGTGGGGAAGTTGATGGTCAAATGGGTCCTGTCCAGGTCCTGATGGTCTGCCATGCTAATGAACCTCAGTCTTAATGAACCCCAGTGGAGCTCTTAAGGCTGCTTCCTACCTGGACGAGGGACTACGATGACTGGGGGACTACGAAGACCGGGGGACTACATAGACTGGGGGACTACATAGACTGGGGACTACATAGACTGGGGGACTACGAAGATTGGGGGACAGCAAGAACAGGAGCTCATTTAACTAACAATCTCAAAGACACAATAAGACTCTCAGGAGGCCCCAGGTGGGTTGATGGAGGCTATGGGACCCGAGTAGCCTTAGGAATTTCAAAGAGCCTAAACTATTACCTGAATACTCTAAAGTGCTTCCAGGACATTATAAAAGAAATCGTAGAACCTCACTATGGATTCTTCAAACTTTAAAAAGGCTTCGATAAATTCTAGAGGCTTTTTGAAGCTTACTATTGAGTCTAAGAAGCACTAGGAGATTACCAGAGAGGTATGAGAGGTTGTAGAACACTCGGGAGGCTTATATAAGAGCCTATGGAAATTTGCAAGCCTTAAGGGGACTTGTGAAAGGTTAACTGTGGGAGGTCGCTGTGCAATAACATCACTCGACGCTGTGGAAGACACCAAGAGGTTTCAGGAGTCTCAAAGGATGGTTATGGGAACACTAGACAACTGTACGTGTAGTGTTTGTAAGAAGCCTCAAGGGAGTTGCCGAACCCATTACTGGATCGTGAAGTTCTAAAGATTTTTCCAGAAGTGTAAATTAAAGAAAACGGAGACCCATAAACCAAACGATAACTCAAGAGAATTTATCTAGACAAATGACGATGGTCATTAAGAGAAGAAGACAATCTCCTAATGATGCCCACCAGGTTAATTAAAAGCCTCGTTACCTGTAATGTACATAATCACCCATAATTAAGTGTATCCGGGCAGCCGTAACTAATGCATCAGTTAAAGACGCGGGACCGACACTCATTTATAAATTGGAAGAAAAGGTAATTGTGTTTTTGTTATTTGTGTATAATATATATAATCATACATATTTGATTTCTGAGATATATAACGACGCTTAAATATATAAAACACTTTATTGAACGACGGGTCAATATTTAAAAACACTTTGAAAACAATCAATCAGAGTACCGTCCTTATATCTGAGGGTTGGCGACCACAGTCCTCCAAGGTTTTGTATATCTGAGGACCCAGTTTTTAATATCATCCACCCATCCCAGTCTCTGCCTTCCCCTGGCCCTCCTACCCTTAACTTTGCCCATAAATATTTATCATCCTTTCATCCCTAATTATATAACCAAAGTATATAATTTTTCTTTTCTGTTGGTATAACGTGCAAATAAATCACTCTGTATAACAACGTATATATATAAAACACTTGGTTATAACGACATGTGTACTGTTATAGTCACTTTATATAACTATACTATTATACTCGTATATAATTCTCTAATGAAGTATAGATAACTACTTCAACCATAACAAAAGAGTGACACCCCATTGTAATCTTTATCTTCGGCGTCAATAAAGATAAAAATAGCTTAAATAATAAAACACTGTCAAATACGAGTAAAAATATTTAAATACTTTATGGAGATTAATGAAGTATAATTGTTTAAAAATGGTTAAGGTGGTGGTGGTAGTAGTAGTAGTATCATTAACACCACTTGAGCCCCGTGTATCGTGTTTCAGACCACATCAACCACATCAGGGAGGTAGCGGGTATCGACCATGTTGGTATTGGAGCGGACTTTGACGGCATTAATAAGTAAGTACCATTCATTATCTCTAAGGTACCATATAGTTTATTGTAAGTGTTAATTTAAAGTTAGTGGCAGAATTCTCGTGTCATTTAGCATGTTAGTGTCAGTCTGATTTACTTAATGACATTTTTGTACTTTATGTAATTTTTTTGGTTTCATTTAAGTAAAAAAACGAATTAAAATTATATTTGTGTGTCATTTAATGTTATGTGTGTGTGTGTGTGTGTAATGTTTACTTCAATGTTTCATCTTTTAATATCAATGTTTATCTAAATGCAGTATTTGTTTAGCGTCACATTCCACATAAGAAAATATCGTCCTTACTAGTGTGGGTGCCTTTGTATTTAAATACGGGTCACTGTTATTTAAATTGGAGTAAATGTTGAAAGCGTGTAGTATAAACCATGAATTTAGTTTAAGCAGAGAAAATTTTTGAATGTAAAAAAAAAAAGTGAAATTACAGATATGGAGAAAGCACTGGTGTAGAGAAAGCATATACAGTGAAAGTACAGGTGTGGTGAAAGGACACGTATTCTCAAATCACAATTACTTTAACCCTCCCCCCTCCCTTCCACACACACACACGAAATGAGAGAGAGAGGGAGAGAAGGTCATTTACTCGCCCACTCACGTTTTTAATTACCAAAAAATCTCCAGGAATTAATGTCCGTAAAACCACAAGTGCTGTACTGTTTCCTGCAGGTAGAAGATGATTTAGAAAGAAGTAAATTATTCCGCCTCTTCCTGGATTTTTTGTTTTTGAGGTGTGTGTGTGTGTGTGTGTGTGTGTGTGTGTGTGTGTGTGTGTGTGTGTGTGTTAAGTGGTAGGTGCAGGTTTTTTTGAAGGCATAGGTGGGTATAATCAGTGGCAGGTGTAGGTGGGTGTTATCAGTGACAGGTGCAGGTGGGTGTAGGTGGGTGTTATCAGTGGCAGGTGAAGGTGGGTGTAGGTGGGTGTTATCAGTGGCAGGTGCAGGTGGGTGCAGGTGGGTGTAATCAGTGGCAGGTGCAGGTGGGTGTAATCAGTGGCACGTGAAAGTGGGTGTTATCAGTGGCACGTGAAAGTGGGTGTTATCAGTGGCAGGTGTAGGTGGGTGTTATCAGTGGCAGGTATAGGTGTCCCCCCCCTGAAACTAATAACATATGTGTCGAAACTCCGCCACCTTGCACCATACTCAAGAGCTCTCGCCAAATTACACCCCGACGCTCCTTACCTGAGATAATTAGGTACCTGGCTGGGAACTCAACATCTGTGCACCTCTAATTGGGTTAGCACCTTGATGGTAAAGCCCACCTGAGCGCTCCCTCTATCAACTAATGCCCATAACACGTACTGGCGTCCCATATCCACCGTCCAGACACTTCCCCTCACCTTCTAGTTATTCCAGGCTATTTATTCGCGTCTATTTATATATTCTAGTTTTTACTATTCACTTATCTATCCTCTCTGTTTATCTTAGCATGGTTGTTAGTCATCTATTCACCTCCACGATTTATTTGTTTTAATTATTTAGTTTCCTGTTTATTCATTGTCGGCGTGGTAGTTATGGTGTGGTGTTTGAGGTGATGATGGTAGTTATGGTGTGGTGTTTGAGGTGATGATGGTAGTTATGGTGTGGTGTTTGGGGTGATGATGGTAGTTATGGTGTGGTGTTTGGGGTGATGATGGTAGTTATGGTGTGGTGTTTGAGGTGATGATGGTAGTTATGGTGTGGTGTTTGGGGTGATGATGGTAGTTATGGTGTGGTGTTTGAGGTGATGATGGTAGTTATGGTGTGGTGTTTGAGGTGATGATGGTAGTTATGGTGTGGTGTTTGAGGTGATGATGGTAGTTATGGTGTGGTGTTTGGGGTGATGATGGTAGTTATGGTGTGGTGTTTGAGGTGATGATGGTAGTTATGGTGTGGTGTTTGGGGTGATGATGGTAGTTATGGTGTGGTGTTTGAGGTGAAGATGATAGTTGTAGTGGTTGTGGTAGATGTGGTGGTGTTGAATGGCTCACCCACTTTAGGTTCCGGGAAATATTGCCGCTCTGACACGCCCACACGCCCACGCACACCCACATTTTCTTGACCTTTACGTGACCTTTGGAAACGGGACAGATCCGCCCCTATAGCCACGGACACACTCACGGACCAACGGACGGACTCATGGATGTAAGGAAGCATTTATGGACTCAAGAATGCACTCATGGACCCATTGACGCACTTACGGACCCACTCACAGATTCACGGAAGCACTCCTGAACCCGTGGACGCACTTAAGCGTACATACACGGGCGACGTACATACACGGGCGACGTACATACAAACGGACGTATTATATGGCTGATGGACCAAAGAGGACAAATACTGTACACACACACACACACACACACACACAGGCAAACAGACAGACGGACGGACAGACAGACACATACACATAAGCATATTACAGCATAACAACAAAATCTATGGGTGAAAAATTAGTAATGGTTCTTTGACACGTAAACAAAAGACAACAATGCGATGCCGAGTAAATTAAAAATACAAATAGTCAAACGCACCAACTTAATTGTTAATTCAGCATAATACATTTATTCCGTCCTTCTAAAACGCAAAAAAAAATAAATAAATAAATAAAATACCGGTTCGGAGTAAGAAAATTTTGCAAATGGACTTTCTTTGTTTTTGTTTTTTACTAAAATTTCCAATAACAGTGAAAACAAAAACAATAAGGAAAAATTTTCAAATATCAATAATTATAAGACACATATAATCTTAGTTTTGACGATAAAGTTGAAATTTGGTAGGGAGGTGCGGGTGGCTTAGGGGATGATGGGTGTGCACTATCTCCTTCACAGTCTAACATTTTCCTCCAAATTTTAACATTTTCCTCCACAGTCTAACATTATCCTCCACATTCTAACATTTTCCTCCACATTCTAACATTTTCCTCCACATTCTAACATTTTCCTCCACAGTTTTACATTTTCCTCCGTCTAAAACTTTCCACTACAATCTAGAATTTGTTTTTATTTACATGCAAAACATTTCCTCACACGATAAAAATATTTCCTTACACAATTCCAAGTTTCCTACACAATTTAATCTTTTTCACTCACAATAAACATTTTCCTGCACAGTTTAATATAATTTCCTACACTATAAACATTTTGCTGGTTAATTCAAGTCTTTTCCTAATACAGAAAGATAATAAATTTAATCGTAATGAATTTGTGTTCCAAACTGTTGCATTATTAATGAGCCAAGGGCCCCCACACACACACAACAGCTGGATGCTACTGTACCCCCATCTAACCATGAATAAGATGTATTTATAAATCTTAAACACGAATAAAATTTACACACTATTATTTTTACCCCGGGAAAAAAAAATTACATTACTAATACACAAGACCTATGGGGAAAGGTGTTGTTGTATGCCTGTATTGAGAGAGAGAGAGAGAGAGAGAGAGAGAGAGAGAGAGAGAGAGAGAGAGAGATGATAAAAGTTGTTTCAGGTGATTTAAGGAGGAAAAGTTGTGAAAACGAGGCGGTGACAGAGTGATGGTGAGGTGTAACCATCGGCGCCCCTGAGAGAGTGTGCGTGGGAGAGGCAGGTAGGGTGTGAGATGCAGGTAGGGAAGAGGAAGAATAGGGAAGAAGTGTGAACCAGGGGGGGAGTGGCAGAATGAGAGAGTGTGTGGAAGAGGCTGTGTGGAATAGAGAGAGCGGGAGGAAGTGGAAGAGCTGCCAAGGGGAATGACAAGGCGTAGGATTATAAGTAGAGTGGGAGAGTGAGTGATAAGGTGCGTGGGAGAGTGTGAGAATAAGTGTGGGTGTGTTAAGGTGTGAGTGGGGGGGATAAGGCGTGAGAGAGAGTGTTAAGGTGCGTGGGAGAGGGAGCGTTATGGAGCGTGGGAGTGGTAAGGCGTGGGAGAGGGTGTGTTAAGGTGCGTGGGAGAGGGAGCGTTATGGAGCGTGGGAGTGGTAAGACGTGGGAGAGGGAGCGTTATGGAGCGTGGGGGAGATAAGGCGTGAGAGAGTGTTAGTGCGTGGGAGAGGGGCGTTATGGAGCGTGGGGTGGTAAGGCGTGGGAGAGGGTGTGTTAAGGTGCGTGGGAGAGGGCGTTATGGGCGTGGGAGTGGTAAGGAGTGGGAGAGGGTGTGTTAAGGTGCGTGGGAGAGGGCGTTATGGAGCGTGGGAGTGGTAAGACGTGGAGAGGGAGCGTTATGGAGCGTGGAAGTGGTAGCGTGGGAGAGGGAGGCGTTATGGGCGTGGAAGTGGTAAGACGTGGGAGAGGGAAGTGGCGACGTGGGAGAGGGAGCGTTATGGAGCGTGGAAGTGGTAAGGCGTGGGAGAGGTAAAAATACAGAGGCTTTTCTGGGATATGTATTATCACCAAGTATACATACCACCTACTGGGGAACTCTCTCTCTCTCTCTCTCTCTCTCTCTCTCTCTCTCTCTCTCTCTCTCTCTCTCTCTCTCTCTCTGTCGTATCTCTTTCTTGTTTTATCGCTCTCTCTTTTTTCCCACAGCATCTCTCTCTCTCTCTCTCTCCCACCGATTCTCTTTCTTTCTCTCTCTTTCTCTCTCTGCTTTGTCAGGTGGAAATTGGAAGTGTCAAGCAGGAATGCAAAAACGTCAAAAACCAATCAGTAGTGTCAGAATGTAATTAGTTATGTCATTGGTAGTGAAAGCAGTAATTAGTTGTGTCAGGTAGCAATTAGTTGTGCCAGGTAGCAATTAGTTGTGTCAGGTAGTAATTAGTTGTGTCAGGTAGTAATTAGTTGTGTCAGGTAGTAATTAGTTGTGTCAGGTAGTAATTAGTTGTGTCAGGTAGTAATTAGTTGTGTCAGGTAGTAATTAGTTGTGTCAGGTAGTCATTAGTTGTCAAGTAGTAATTAGTTGTGCCAGGTAGTAATTAGTTGTGTCAGGTAGCAGTTTGTGTGCCAGGTAGCAATTAGTTGTGTCGGTAGTAATTAGTTTGTGTCAGGTAGTAATTAGTTGTGTCAGGTAGTAATTGGTTGTACAGGTAGTAATTGGTTGTCAGGTAGTAATTAGTTGTGTCAGGTAGTAATTAGTTGTGTCAGGTAGTAGTGGTTATGGGTAGTCATTAGTTGTCAAGTAGTAATTAGTTGTGAGTAGTAATTAGTTGTGTCGGTAAATTAGTTGTGTCAGGTAGTAATTAGTTGTGTCGAGGTAGTAATTAGTTGTGCCAGGTAGTAATTAGTTGTGTCGGGTAGTAATTAGTTGTGTCGGGTAGTAATAAGTTGTGTCGGGTAGTAATTAGTTGTGTCGGGTCATGTGGTTGTCAGGCAGTAATTATTTGTACTTGATAAATGTCTCTTCTTTAATCTTCTAAAAAAAACACCACTACAGAGAGAGAGAGAGATCCATTAGCTTGTTGGGTAGAGGAGAGATAAGTATAAAACCCCCGTAATTCCCATGCTTCCCTGTTGTTAAAAACGTGTTACATTACAAGAATTCAGTGTTATGTTGTGGCGTTTTAGTACACAAATCAGATCACGTAAAAAAATTATATATATATGAGGGTTAAAATAGACTAATCACAGTACCTTAGTTGTGGGTTTAAATAATATTGTTTTTTTTGTTTTATTTTTATCTGGATATTTGTGGTTTTTAATACGTGAAAAGAAGACGTTTTATGCATAGTGATTTTACTCGTTTGTATTAAGAGGTTTTGTTTTTGTGTTTATTTAGGAATTTTATATGTTTTTTATAATGTTCGCTGACGGGAATTAAAAAATAAGTAAAAATTGATTAAGTCGAGATCGTGTTTAACCCAGAATTTGTTTTGCGTTAAATGTCAAAAGACGAGAATTAAATTACCAAGACTAATTAATGTAGACTATTGTTATTGTATTTGTGTTCATTCAAGCTTTAACTCTCAGACTTAATTGAATGATACAAGGAAGCGATCATTATTGTGTTCAAGTACTTACAAGTTTTATATAAGTATTGCCTTAGTACGGAGACACGACGCCGTGATGTCCGATTAAAACACGAAAAAAAACCCACAGTATTAACATTATCTCTATTTATCTGTTTGTCTCTGTTTCTCGCTTTATGTCTGTCTGTTTGGTAGTACCTCTCTGGCTGTCTCTCTTTGTTGCGTTCATAATACTCTCTCTCTCTCTCTCGCCTGAATAAAGTTCAATTAGGTTCTCATTCTGACTCACTGAACACAACGCTCTCCACAAATATACGTGTTGGAAGAGTGGGCCATTTGAGAGAGAGAGAGAGAGAGAGAGAGAGAGAGAGAGAGAGATATGAGCAACTATTGATTCATCCAAACTTAAATTCCCTTGACACGCATCACATATTTTTCTCCTGCGACCAAAAGGACAAAACTATCCTGGTCCATAACACCAACTCAGGGTCACTGATGTGTAGAGTAAAGTAAGCTGGTTTACTTATGGAAGTGTAAAGTATTACCGCCTGGGAGGAAAATATAAACCTGTAATGCGTGTTAAGTATGAATAAGTTATATATCGTAGAATGTTACAGTGTTAAGAATAAACCGACCACATAGGACAGTACATTAGAGTGTGTTGAATGTAAACCAGTCGAATGTTACAGCTATATTCCTTAGTTTACATACTGTAATAGGCAGCGTGTAACTGGGCAAAGTTTTCTGCTGGGAATGTTATCCCGTAAATCCCGGTACAGACTTAGTTTATCCTGACAGTTCAAATGTTGCTATTCGTTGTGTAAAATGTATCACGTTTTGGATTTTACGTTTTTGTGTAAATATTAGTATCATATTTTTTTTCTTGTTATTAATTGGCCATAAACCTTTTTTCCCTTTGCTATTACCCTTTCTCTTCCTATTACCCTTCACCCTTTCCGTTACTCTTTTTCTCCTGGTCACTAGCCCTTTCCACTACCTCTTCTATTACTACTACCCCTTCTTCCTTGCCACTACCCCTTCCCCATGCCACTAACCCTTCCTCCGCTATTATCACTGCCCTTCCTTTACTCCTGTCATTACCATTTCTTGGTCTCTATTCCTTCCCCTTGGTTTTATTTACTTCAACCACTACCTTTCCTCGCCACAACCCTGAGCCACTAACCCCAACACTCATAACCGATTCATCAGTGCCAATAACATTTCGCAGAGCCACTAACCTCCCCTTACCAAACACTACTCACTTCTCTCACTGCTCTCCCTTTGCCACTAACTAGTCACCACCACTCATCTCACCCCTTCCATAGTGCTACTAACCCCTTCTCACTACCCTTATCAATTCCTCACTACTATCAACACTCCCCTCGTGGCACTAACAGTTTACCACTCCGCCCCCCAGGACGCCGCAGGGCCTGGAGGATGTGAGCAGGTATCCTTGGCTCCTGGCTGAGCTCCTGAGAGACCCGCGCTGGACCGTGGCAGACATCAGGAAGCTCATAGGAGAGAATGTCATCAGGGTGTTTTCTGAGGTGGAGCGGGTGAGTGTCTTTATGTCTGTGTTGTGAGTGTGTCTGTGTTTTGAGTGTGTCTGTGTTGTGAGTGTCTTTATGTCTGTGTTGTGAGTGTGTCTGTGTTGTGAGAGTGTCTGTGTTGTGAGTGTCTTCATGTCTGTGTTGTGAGTGTCTTTATGTCTGTGTTGTGAGTGTCTTCATGTCTGTGTTGTGAGTGTCTTTATGTCTGTGTTGTGAGTGTGTCTGTGTTGTGAGTGTGTCTGTGTTGTGAGTGTCTTCATGTGTATGTTGTGTGTCTATTCATATTTTGTGTGTGTGTGTGTGTGTGTGTGTGTGTGTGTGTGTGTGTTGTGAGTGTCTTCATGTCTGTGTTGTGAGTGTCTTCATGTCTGTGTTGTGAGTGTGTCTGTGTTGTGAGTGTGTCTGTGTTGTGGTGTCTTCATGTCTGTGTTGTGAGTGTGTCTGTGTTGTGAGTGTCTTCATGTCTGTGTTGTGAGTGTGTCTGTGTTGTAGGTGTGTCTGTGTTGTGAGTGTCTTCATGTCTGTGTTGGAGTGTCTTCATGTCTGTGTTGTGAGTGTGTCTGTGTTGTGTGTCTGTGTTGTAGGTGTCTTCATGTCTGTGTTGTGGAGTGTCTTCAGTGTCTGTGTTGTGAGTGTGTCTGTGTTGTGAGTGTCTATGTGTATGTTGTGTGTCTATTCATATTTTGTGTGTGTGTGTGTGTGTGTGTGTGTGTGTGTGTGTGTGTGTGTGTGTGTGTGCGCGCGCGCTCTCAAACAACCTCACTAACACACACACAATCTCTGTCTCTCCCTGAAGGTGAGGGACGACATGCAGGCAAAGGGTGTTGAGCCCCTGGAGGAGGAGATTCACCCCGAGTACCTGAAGGGCAAGACCAACTGCACCTACATCTTCGACTGATCACATCACCCAACACCTTCACCACCGCCATCAGTCAGTCAACACCTTCACCACCGCCACCAGTCAGTCAACACCTTCACCACCGCCACCAGTCAGTCAACACCTTCACCACCGCCACCAGTCAGTCAACACCACCATCACCAGCCAGCCAACACCACCATCACGTCATCAACTGTGATCCTCTCAACAACCCAAGAACGACAACTTGTTGATGTCTCTTCTGTACATCTTAGTGACATCTAGAGTTCATCTCCGACCGATGTTGCCTTTTAAAAAGACGTCAAGTGACATCCAGCATCTCCTTCGATCGATAATTTTGACGCTAAAGATCCCACTAATTACGACCGACGCATGATGGCCTCTTCGTCTCACGCCATCAACAGGTCGGCCTCGCAGTGATATATGTGAATGAAAACAAAACAAGACACTGACAAATGAAATAAACTGATTTATCAAAGGAAAACGATGCTTTCCATCTCTCGGTAAATGGAAAGAATTATTGTGATTTATCATACTCGACGCCGGAGTCTTATGAATAGAAAACGGTTTGACGAAGGACACGATCCATAATAACAAATTGTATCCTTTGTAAAGAGGAAACTGACTTACGGGAAATATGTGGCAGAGCGATGGAAAATATCCTTTGAATAATCTAGGGAAAAACTTGAAGGATTTAATTTATAGTGAAAAAAAAATTAAAAGAAAATACTTTACGATTGTTTCGGGAGCCATAACCTGTGGTGTTGAGTCGTGAGGACGATACAACACGAGACAGACAGACACACTCACGTTCATCGGTGCTAAACAATGTGCCACTTATAAACAACGTCATAACAACCATCCTAACCGTCTCTGGAAACAATCATTATCAACTGTTCCAGAAGACAAAAATGCTCATAGTGACCTTCCTATACCTTGTGACCTTTGACCCAGTCCAGCGTGAATGACCTTGTGATGTATATTAAAAAGAAAAAAAAAATAACATATCATAACAGTGGGTGATATATGAGCGAAATTTCTAAGTAAATTTAAAATTATTTGGCGAAAGTTTTGTTTGGATCATGACCGTGAGAATTACTATACGAATATTTCCGCCATTTATTTACTGATATCGCTTAGGTTATATTTTTCTGTGGGGAAAAATGACACTGACTAACTACCAGTTGGTCGTAAATGTCCTAATAAACGTTACCCAAAAAATATGCAAAAAAAAAAAAAAATCAGGATAACATGCATAGAGAAATATCGAAATAAATACATGACAATAGGTAGAGAATCGCAGAAGAACGAGTAATGATAGACGAGTTATATTTGTCATCAGCGAACATGAACGACGGTGGTGGCGATGGTGACCGTCAGCGACTAAGGTGTAACTGTTGGCTGCGATACAATTAATATTGACAGTCAGTTGCTGCTAGAGACTGACACAAAGAATATGTTATGACGTAAAAGTAACTAATCAGGAAGAAGAAGAAAAGGGAAAATTATATTAGGGTCATTTTACAATCTTGGGAGCAAAAAATAAAAATAAAAAAATAATTAAAAACAAATGATGTATTTAGTTTCTCGTTAATTAAAACTTGGACACAGAAAATAAGCAGAGATCTTACCGAGGCATAAAATGACAGGTGTTGATGATACATTAAGGTAAATAATAAATAAAAAAAACTTAAGAGATATATTTTGGAGAAGGGAGGGAGGAGATCGAGTAAGAGTGAAGGTTATTTTTTAGGATAGGGAGGGAGCTCATGTTAACTTAGGGGGAAAAGGTCATGTTAGAGTAAAGGGGAATCATGTTACATTAGGGGAAGGTCATGTTAGAATTAGGTAAAGTCATGTTAGAGTAAGAAGAATCATATTAAAGTATAGGAAAATCATTTTTAAGTAGTAGAAGGCACATAAGGGGAAGTCACATTAGAGTAAGAAAAACCAAGTTGAAAAGTATGAGAAAGTCCTACTAAAGTAAATTAAACCAACGTTAGAGTAGTAAAAGTAAGAACCACGGATACAAAAATTCAGACGCCGTTGTAATGTAGTTTAAAAGAGTGGGAACTATTCTTGAGTATAAATATGGAGACAGCCATACTTAAGTAACTCAATAGAAAGTAGATTTACCATAATTTTCAAAGTTTTTAAGAAAGCCATATTTCAGTAAGTCATATTTTACCTCACTGATAATAAAAATTATTCTTATACAGTCAAGAGAAATAAAAATGTTAAGAGCAGCCACAATAAAGATAATTTTTAATGAGGGAAATTAATGTTTATTTATATCAATATGGCAGATTTTTTGTGGACTTATTATGCTGAGAAAAATTATTATTATACTCAAGAAATATAGACTGACATTGTATATAAGAATAGCGAAGACCAGAAGTATGAGAGGATTGGAAAACTGTGTTTAAGTAGTGTCGACTATATTGAAAAATAACACGAAATGTGGAAAAAAGTATTACATGAAAATAGTTAATGTACCTGAAATATATCATGATTGGAGTTGAATTATAAGATATTTTTCACATTATTTAAAATCGAAAATATATAGAACCATCGTTACGTGTTGAAAGGTAAATAACTGACTAGTATTATGACAGTATTAATATGATCATGAAACTTCAGTAACATCATAAACTCAATTCTCATGTTCATTTCACCACCCAGGCTCTTCTATTCGCCACCCCGGCTCTTCTATTCGGCACCCCAGCTCTTCCACTCAACATCCCTGCTCTTCCATTCACTACCCCGGCTCTTCTATTCACCACCCCGGCTCTTCCATTCACTACCCCGGCTCTTCCATTCACTATCCCGGCTCTTCTATTCACCTCAGCTCTTTTATTCACTACCCCGGCTCTTCCATTCACCACCCCGCCCGTTCAATTCATCATCCTAGCTCTTCCATGCACTATCCTCCTTCTAATGTTCAATAGCACCAGTCAGTAAGTCTCTTCCATCTATCATAACAGACGGGGTAAGCCATTCACCAATTAGACTGTCCTATGTATCTAATGACCAACTGTCCTTGCTGTTCCTGTCACCAAACATCCATCCTCGTCCTCACTGCATTTTCAAATACATCAACCGGCTGTTGCGGTCGACACTCCGGTTACCATCGTTAACATCTCTGCTGTTTTCATTACCATCCCAGCTGTTTTCATCAGTATCTCAGCTGTTTTCATCAGTATCTCAGCTGCTCTCATCGCCATCCCCGCTGTTTTCATCAGTATCTCAGCTGCTCTCATCGCCATCCCAGCTGTTTTCATCACTATCTCAGCTACTTCCATCACCATCTTGGCTTTGTCATCAACCAAATCATTCCCATTACCTCACCGACCTTCGTGACTCATCATATACCTGACCTCCATAACAAGGTTTGGTCCTCAATTAAGTCTAACCTCTAGACCAGTCCACCTTGGTCAGGAGCCTATAACCTCCTGGAGAGCCTTTTGTCTCTATCATTAAGCTCGTGACCTCTCATGACCTTAGAGGCAGTCGTACCTTATGTACACAAGGCACCAGTGTACGACATCATCCTGCTTATGTCGCTGAGTGGGAAGAGAGTTAGTGATAAAAGGAGGCAGGGCTTTAGGCCTCTTAGCTAATCAGACCTCCTCACTCCGCTTGCTTGTCTCCGTTGCCATGACAATTGGTTTGTTTACTCGCATCGTACGTCTGGCGCCCAAAATACAATGGTAGCTACTGTGGGTCTCAAAGGGGGAAGAGGCCCATTGCAGCTCCTCGAATTTATAACTAACGTTTTGCATTTATTTTTTTTTCTTGCGCTTGCGGCATTATACTTGTTGACATGCGACGACAGCAGCACAAATGAGCCTCCTGTACATTAAACGGAGGCTCGTTTTTCCTGGCCACGTCGTCTAAGGTTTGTTATTCTTGCTAAATGTCGCTGTAGCCTCTGTGAGGAGGGGTTTAGGGAACATTGTCACCCAGTGTTGTTCTATTGTGGTAAAGGAGAGACTCCGGAGACTACTTAAACAACTTGGGGGAACAAGTAGACGGCCTTGCTATGACCTCTAGAAAGGGAATATTTCTTCAAGAAAATGAAGTAAAGTTTCTCAAGTGCTCCACACACACTTCGACTTTAGACGGAAGAAAACACAAGAATCATCGATAATGTGTTTACATGTGTGAGTTTGTTTCAAGAATACGGACGTGTAGGTAGACAGTCCCTCTCTTGTATGGGGGAACATTGTGTTTATAGACATGGCTCCATAAACGTGATTTGTGTACAGTGAACTTGATCGGTTGTCGAACGACCGACTCTTGATAGAACATTATCTAAATATTAAGTTATGGTAAAATAAAGAAAATTTTTTGTACTTTAGCTACAAAGATCGGGATCAAATGCTTATAAAATACTAAAAGCGCTAAGTGATTGCTCCGTTTTTTTAATCCTATTGAAATATATGGGTGAATTTTTTTGTAAGTGGTGTGGCGTGAATGACGACACTTTGCGACAATCAGTGAATGAAATACTAGAGTGGGGGGCCCAGCCGGCCTCCAGACTGCAGCGCCTCATGCCAGACTCCTTGTAGATACTTTTCCTAGTTTTATGTTTATGTTTGATTGCTGCCTTAAACGTTAGTCAGTAGGCGTGGTACTAGCAGGTCCTGTGTCACTACCGCCACCCTATGTGTTGCTCGCTCGCGCTGCAGTCTCGAGGTCGCTGCTCTAAAATTAAGACAAATAAGATTTTTTTTTTCATGTTTAGATAAGGTCTAGCCTGCATATCGTAAAAGCATGTAATATATCTAGTGTAGTGTTCATATCCTTACAGTATTACAGATAAAATACACAAATTATACAGAAACTGTTGCATATAACATGTATAACGTATATTTATCCATGCTGCTCACCAGAAGTGTGTTTTTTAGACTGCAGTTTAAGAAGCAATGAACAGAAAAAAATACCCATTGTTAAGCTTGTAGATTCACATGTGTGCTATGTGTAAGTATATTTTGACAAGAGTTTCATGTGTGCAGAAATGTAAACAAGTTATAACTACTGTAGGTCTCTGCACTAGGACCTTAAAAACTGGTGGTCATCTGATGTACATTTTTTTCCTTTGTAAAACTCATCCAGTGTGGCGTGAGTGTGTGGTGTGAGGGACCAGCCACCACCCTGCCCGAGGCTTCCACGAGGTCGCTGCCACAACACAAACAAGCCTGGCCGCCTCATGGAAGCTCTCCCCGTGACGCACCACCTGGCTGGTCCCGTCACACCAGCTGTTACCGAACTGTTGTCACATTTTAACATCATACAATGAAAGTGCCTTAGAACAGTTCTGGTGTACAGAGGGTGAGACTATGTGTGTGTTACTACTATTACTGATACTATTACTATTGCTGTTGCTGCTGCTTCTGCTGTGTGAGTGTGTGCGCGAGAGAGAGTGATTGAGAGCGCGTGTGTCTGCGTCTTCACTTCAAGTACACGGGGGAACATGTACTGAATCATCGGCATAAAACATTATATTATCGTTACTGGCTCTCTTGTATCATTCCATGCACCATCTTTTTGATTGTTTATTTTCTTTGTGTTTCTTGCTTCTGTCTGCCTTCAGCGTATGGCTCCTCCTCTGCCGTAGCCACACATGACCTTCCTTGTTTGTGTTCTGACTTGCTCTCAACACCGCCCTAGTTTTCTCTAGTAGACAACAACACTGGATGTGCCTGGTAGCGCTCCCTCATCAGATTTGACCAGGTTTGCCCAGGCCAGCTCAGCAGTCCACCTTGTCCTCACACCGGTCCACCTCTGTCTGGCCCGCCAGCTTGGTCCATCACCCAGTACAGCTTCACCCCACCCATTCACCCGCAGTACTAAATAAAAATGTCTTAAAAGAACAAAAAATAGTCAAATTGGCACGAAATTAGGAAAAACCTTCTTGAGCTCTAACACAATGATCTTGAAATCGTAAGTAAATTTCATTCAAAAGATTGGAGTTATGAGTATGTTAAGGATTATATTTATTACCCAGTATAAGAGGCGTGGGGGATAAGGTAAGGCAGGCGTGGGTGTCACCAGGAAGGGGTGAGTGAGAGGGGAGGGGGAGGTGTGAGGAGCACACCTTCAGGTAGCTGACTGGGCCACACCTTATACTAGCACCCCAAGGTAGAGAGTTCCTCCCACGGTAGCTGATGGCTAGTTACCACTTTGGCAGACCACTAGTTACTAGGAACCTTTTAGTTTACCATTCTGTCAGCCTACTGGTGACTAGTTGTCCACTAGTTACCATCCTGGCAGTCCAATAGGAACTAGGAACCTTCTAGTTACTGCTCTGGCAGATCAATAGTGCCTAGAAGCCTCTTAGTTACCACTCTGACAGATCACTAGTGACAAAGAGCCTTCTAGTTACCACTATCAGATCACTAGTGTCTTGGAGTCCACTAGTAAACACTGTGGCCGGTAACCTCTGCCACGATCATACAAACATCCAATCATCAGGACTTGGGTGTCATAGTGACTAATCTGGAAATTTTACAAAGAGTTTAAAAGTGTTCAGAAAGATTACTGTTAACTCTTAAGGTCTGACCACTAGATCTCGCCAGGGGAGCGGCCGGCACTAGGCACTCCATGCTATAAAATCCTTTCACCATAGATGAGACCTTTGTTTTTCGAGGGGGTGATATATTACATTTGTAAACACTGAGAGTAAACAGAGAGTAAACACTGGCGAGATTTAGTTCCTTAAACCTTAAGATGTAGAACTGTATTAATTGTACAGGTGTGAAGAACAGAAGGTAATGTAGCCACAATGTAATTATTGATTGAAGCATGTGACACGAGAAGACAAAACTGATGAAAATTTTTACAGTTGTTACTCTCGGGGTTGAAGTATTAGGTAATAGACACTCCCGCTTGGTATACATATACAGAGTCCTGCATGACACAGTCTACATCATCATAAACAGTAAGGTCGTTCGCATCTTAGTTGCACGTTGACTAAGGTCAGCTTTTGATAGCTTGCTTACACGTCATAATTGCAGATTTGAATTAATAAAAAACAAAAAACTCTTAGTTATAAACATTTAGATATATCAGAATTATATATATATATATATATATATATATATATATATATATATATATATATATATATATATATATATATATATATATATATATATATATATATATATATATATAGAATTTTCATAGTTTTATAATACCAAATGGATGAATATTTTAAGCTACATGACTATCTGGACAAGCATTAAGGGGAGTCAGGCAGAAAAAAACATTAGAAAATTGTGCTCATTAGTAGAGGCGCCATCAAGGGTTTTTGTTCTGCATGACAATAATTGTGACTTAAACCCAGACGAAAATAGATTGGAAACAATGGCATAATGAACCATTTGTGTGTGTGCGTGTGTGTGTGTGTGTGTCTGTGTGTGCGTTTATATCAGGCGAACTCAGTATACACATGACCACTTCAGGTGACTGTGTGTACATGATCACTATAGGTTACTCAGTGTGCACCTGGTCATTAGAAAGTGTAATAATGGGGAGAATGGAGCATAATTGTCAATAAATGCTCGTGTTTCACTAATTGGCTCTTCCCATCATCAGCGTCACCTTGTACCACTGGCGCTAACTAACACCTGAACCCGGATAGGTACTCAGACGGTAACCTAACTTAAACTAAACTAAATAACCTACACCTAACCTTAACTACACCTAACCTAACCTAACTACTTTTACCTTACCTTACCTTACCTTACCTTACCTAACCTAACCTAACCTAACCCTAACCCTAACCTAACCTTACATACCTTACCTTACCTTACCTTACATACCTTACCTTACCTTACCTAACCTAACCTAACCCTAACCTAACCTAACCTAACCAACCTAACCTAACCTTACCTACATACCTTACCTTGCTTACCCAACCTTACCTTGTAACCTAACCTAACCTAACCTAACCTGTAACCTAACCTAACCTAACCTAACAACCTAACCTAACCTAGCCTAACCTAACCTTACCTTTTACCTTTGTACCTTACCTTACCTACACCTAACCTAACCTAACCTAACCTAACCTAACCTAACCTAACCTTACCTAACCTAACCTAACCTAACCTAACCTAACCTAACCTAACCTAACCTAACCTAACCTAACCTAACTGTACCAACATTCGCAGGTGTAGTAGAAAAAAAAATAGATTCGGGTCCGTTCCGGGTTTAAAGGTCCTACGTCTACACTCTCACCTGCCCAGAAAAAACAAACAACAAACAACTCGGTGTACCTTCAGTGTTAACAGAAATTATTAATACAAACACCTGAATGTTTACACTCTAACATGAAGGCTGTGCAGGTCACGGCGTCTACCTGCACTTCCCTGCACCTCAACACTCAAACCTCCCGTGTGGGTGAGACTTTTTTTTCATATGTTACACATAGTACTGACGTTTAGTTTATGCAACTGTACTTTATATGGAGAAATTAGGAACACGTGGACAATAGACACCCCAAATTATTTCACCTTAAGATTAATCACCCTAAATGAAACGTAATCTAATCTAAACCTAATCTGATCTAACCTAACTCCCACTCAAGGTAGTGTTTGAGTGTTTAATTAGTTGAAAATAAGCTAGGGTGTCTAATCTTCATGTGATGGGATATATATATATATATATATATATATATATATATATATATATATATATATATATATATATATATATATATATATATATATATATATATATATATATATATATTATAATGATTTAATAGATACTCTGATTAGTTTTATTGTAAAGGTTACGAAGTATCGACAATAATAATAAAAGCCTCCAGAGTGTGTCTAAAGGAATCTTAATTTTGCTATTGTATCGATCATCGAATTCGTGTACAAGTCTACTACCTAAACCACAACGTGATGACAGATAAAAAACGACGGAAAATATTAAAATAATATAAAATAAGAATATATTCCGTAAAGATGTGAACATTAAATTCTGTCTCCAGAAACTTGAAAACCACGAGATGATGAAGAATAAAGAATGAAATTAGACGGCATATGTATAAGACAAACTCCTGTAGTATTTTTATTGGCGTGTCTAAGGAGGAGGGAGGTGGAGGGCGGGGGGGGGGGGTAGATGGATCCAGCGATGTACAACCTAAATTTAGCATAAGTGATTAGTGAATACTGATCATGTATGGAACCAGGCAACACAAGTCTCCAGAGATGACACGAGATCCGTAAGATAAATAGTCCTCGTACCTGGTGATCTGAGAGCGTCACTAAACTGTCGACTTAAGCCAAAACACACAAGTTCATCGCCAAAAATATAATCATAATTATACTGAGACTACCTTAACTAGATACGTTCACTTGGCACCACTTACGAGACAATATTATGGTTGTGGAATCTTTTTAAAAATATTCTGAACCATTATTTTGTATTTTGCTGAAGGTAGTAGTTAAGGTAGAGTATTGTTGTAATGTCGAGTGTGTTTTTCGAGGCTAGTTTAGTGCTTTATCTTACGTTAACCAATAAAAGTCTTTATTACGTCTTTATCTACAAGTAACATTCATCACACGAAGCGGGAGAAGGCCCGCTCTGCCTAATGTTGTGTACGTTATTCAAAGCAGGCAGTTAGTGTGGTTCTATGGTACCATGACACGCCTAACTACTGGGCGGGGAGCAACAGTGATTAACAAGAAAAAAAAAATTGCTAAAAATCATGGTACCACGTCAGCACACACACTATACAACTTATGGGGTGGTGGCAAATCACTCAACATAGAGAACAGCAAATTTGTAGACAGCCATCAATGGTACCATGGTACCATGAAACACCTATATAGAAAGAGCGGAGGTAGGTAGAACAGTAGTGTAATATTATCCACTATATGTCCCATGGCACCATTGCTGCCTGATACGACCCCTATCTGGTAGAGAGGGGGGGGGGGCGCCACCACTGCCTTCACCAGAAGGTTAGAGTTAGATCTTCCTGTACACTTGCCAGACGACCCTCATAGCTTGTCGGGTTCATTAGCTTGTCCTTCCTTCTGTGAGAAGTTCCTGAAGAACTTTGCCTCAGCTTTGGGGGTTCCTCCTGATCTATTGCCTCCAGCGACTGGTCTGAAACTCCTGTCGGGGCTGCCCTTTGCAGACACGGGTCCTGATGGTCTTCTGACAGTAAAGGTCTTCCGACTGACTGCCTCCCACAGGTGGTTCATGATGATGGACTGTCTCCCACAGATGGTTCATGATGATGGACTGTCTCCCACAGATGGTTCATGATGATGGACTGTCTCCCACAGGTGGTTCAAGACAAATCCTTCTACAGATGGTTCCCGAGAGAACCACCTGCATGAGGACGCCAAAAGAAGCTGAGAGAGTCTTAGTGTCCGGACAACTGACGCACAAACCTTTTCCATTTTTTGGCACACAATTTTGGTCTACGCTGAAAGACAGACAGACAGTCAGACACGCGAAAGTCGCTGTCTGAGCTATTAGAAAAAATATATACACATTTTTTTCTCTCTCTTTGCTACCAAGTAATTTTTTGTTTGTAAAAAAAAAGAGTATACTTTAAATTTGTAAATATTTATAACCAGAATAAACGTATATTGTTGCTGTTACATAGACGTGTGTATCTTTATAACCTCTTACAGCTGATGATGTGCCAGCACCTCTATATATCGGGAGAGAGAGAACCAATAATAGTGGTGGTGAAGGAGGAAAGGTAAAAGGGGAAAGACGAGGAGAAGGAAAGTGTAGATGTGTTCAACAGACAACACAATATTCAGAGTTTAGGGAAAATTGTCTTAGTAAATTGAAGGGAACTGGTTGAAGAAAAAATAGATTCAGATTCTTTTGTGAAATATGAAGAAGAATCTATCTAATATTTATCTTATATTTCTGAAGAGGATTCCGAATCTAAGATAAATTTATGTATTAGATTCAAAATCATTTACAGACTTATGAGATAAATTGAGACCCACTGTCAGATTCACAGACCAAATATTCAGAAATATATGAAAGATAGACGTATTCATCATACTCATATAAAAATACTTACAATAAAATAAACAAATTATTTTCAGATACATTTAAAAAATTTAGTCATTATCCACACAGAAAAATAAGTTAGAATCAGAAGAAAAAATAATTAGTAATTAATAGACTCGTATTCATTATTGAATATACAAAGTAGATTCAAACCCATATTAAAATTTTGTTTATGAATATTGGATTTAAATTCTCATAGCGAAAAACTTAAAACATCCACGAGACATTGACCCACAAATACCTGGCATAGTAATCTGCCTATGACGGTGTTATCCTTGAAAATACAAAATACAGGTATATATTACAGGTGGAGCATACAGTAAATTGCAACTGGTGAAAGTATCATAAAAATTAATAAATAAACAAAGAGAAGAAACATGGAAGTGAATAAGTAAATAAACAGAGAAATATAGATAAGTTGAAAAAAATAAAAATGAGTATCTTGGATATAAAATCCTAAGTTAATTTCAATAAAATAATACCATAACAGATGATCTCTCTGGTGTAAGCACAACCTGTTCAATTCTCCAAAAAATAAATAAAAATCCATCTTAATTTTTTCTGGTTTATTTTACGAAGATGATGGACGTTGTGTAAGCTGACTATTAACCAGACAAACATTCACACACACAAGGTTAGGCTCAGCTAACAAGAAGCTCAAATAAGCTATACTACGATACTCTTAATTACTAAGATAAAAAAGCCCTTCCTGAATAGCCGCAGGTACAGGTAAGAGTGGGTGTAGTACCTGTTGGCCTAAGTCCTTATTGAGTGGCCCGGGGTTGATTCACTTGGAGTGTTTGTGGGTGTGGGCGTAGGGGAGTGGACGGGGCGTGATGGAAGAAGAGGTGAGGGGGGGGAGGGGCAAGGGAGAGGTAAGAGGAGAGGGAGAAGGTGAAGGGGAGGGAGTGAGAGGTGAGTCAACATACCGCCGCTGAGGTGGTTAATGGAAGAGGAAGCTACAGGGGCAGTTTTGTGTGGTGGTGGTGGAGAAGACCTGCCCCCCTACCCTCCATCCCTACTCTGCCAGACCTGCCTTTACCCTCCTCTTCACCTGCCAGACCTACCTTCCCTCCCTCTACACCTGCCGGGAGATAAGGTTTTAGTGTCTCATTATATTACAGGTAAGAGACTCAGGTGCTCAGTTAATGCTGTGTGATGACATAAATCGGTCAGGAAAATACCACATATATTTTACTATACCACCTTACACCCCTTAAACTTCCCTACACCCTTTACACCTCCCTGCCAACCCCTTTTGCACCTGGAAAATCTCACACCTCCACACCTCCCTACACCCCCACCCTCACACCTCCCTGCACAATCTCTAGTATAGAACCAGTAGGTAACATCCCATTGTAGGATGTAGAAATCCTGACATGAGAAGAGATAATCGTAAGTACATTTAAAGTACCATTTTTGGGACTTATCAACCATATTTTTCCTCTCCACACACCACCACACACACACACACACACACACACACACACACACACACACACACACACACACACACACACACACACACACACACACACACACACACACACCTTACATCTCTTCCCCCCCAAAGTTTAGTCCCCTATTATAAGTTTGGTAGGCCTGTAAGGAACTGGTGGACAAGTTCCTTAAGTCTTGTATTCTCCTCTGGTGTCCCCACGCTCTCTCAGTTTCCTTGGTTCTCACTAGGTTCTGAGAGAGAGAGAGAGAGAATGTTTGTGTGTGTGTGAGAGAAATGATTTGTTCTCTTTTACGTTTTTTCCTGCTATTATGCTGAATGGCCGGAATCAAAAGACACACACACACACACACACACACACACACACACACACACACACACACACACACACACACACAACATCGGTCATCAACACACACACACACACACACACACACACACACACACACACACACGTACGTTCTTCGTCTATTTGTTGTTATTCACTTTTTTATTCTCACAGCTGCAACAGTCTGTACTCTGCCGTTGTGCTTCCCTTCAACAACAAGGCCCACACACCTGTCGCCTCACACAAGCCACCATTTACCCTTCACCAACGCGTCCTTAACCCGAGAATCAGTCGACAACACGTTCTTCGATCATTCAGGTATAATGCTGCTTCCTGGATATCTGTCGCCCCCACTTCAAACAATCCTTCCCTCTCTTTGTTTGCCTTCTCCTTCTTCTTCTTCGCCTTTTCCTTCCTCACCTTCTCCTCTCCTTTCTCACCTCCCCTCTCCTTCTTCGCCTCCCTCTCTCCTTCTTCGCCTCCCTCTCTCCTTCTTCGCTTTCCCATTTTCTTCCTAGCCTTCCCCTCTCCTTTCCTTCCACTCCTTCCTCTCTCCATCCTCCCTCTGAATTAAACTCTTTTTATCTTCCCCCCAAAGAGAGAAAGAGTACATAAAACTACTCTATTTCAGACGTTAAAAAGAGAAACAGCAATGGTGTCAAAAACGCTTATTTATACAGAGGAAAATGTAAGAAGAAAATGCTGACAGAGAACTGATAAGAAAAGAAAGGAAAAAAAAGAGAGAATCACAAGGCCTGCCACTCTTTGATACCGCCGCTATGATAATGAACAATTGTAAAAGTTCCCGGCAGAAAAATAAGGAGAGAGAGGAACACCTGCCGTGATCACCCTGGCTGGCGGAGGTCTGTGCCCCTGAGGGAAATATCGGCCATTGTTGATGTGTTTTTTTTACTCTTATTCATATTTTTACTACTAAAACAAATGATACAAGTGTTACTAAAGAGCGACACTGTAAGCTGTTGAGACAAATATATTTGTACACTACACAAAATACAGGTAATTAAATCTTTTTTTTTAATACACCCATTGAAAGTCGATGTAATTATATGAGTCATTATATATGCAAAATTGTATATCATTGGATGTTCAGACCGAGGTTGTCTCAGCTCTTATCTGCATCATGTTCACAAATGATAGCTCGTTACGTGGAGAAATTAACTGCAGGCTGAATATGTCACCGATATATATTCATTATTTTTGGGGGGTTATGGAGGGCGGGGGTGAGAGGCTTTGTGTATATAATAAAACCCGAATCATTGATGATTAAAAAATTTAAATTAGTAACAGAGTTCTGTCGAGAGTTTCTACCACTCTCTATCATTCATAAATCTGTCTAGCCTCCCTTTAAAATTTTCCAGCGTCCCAGCACTTAATAAAAAGTTGCTAAGCTTGTTCTACTCATCTACCACCCTATTTGAGAACCAGTTTCTTCCTATCTCCCTCCTAAACCTAAACCTATCCATCTTAAATCCGTTGCTACGAGTGCTATCCTGCTCGGATATTATAAGAACTTTATCTATTTCTCCTTTATTGATTCCTTTCACCCACTTAAATACTTCTATCATATCTCCCCGTCACCACCACCACCTCCCCCGTCACCACCACCACCACTGCCGTCACTACTACCTCCTCCGTCACCACCAAGGCGATAACAGAACTCAACATAGAGGACCTGAAACACGTCCACTACGCCGCCTTCACAGCTATTTGACAGTTCCTCGCCGCTGGATATTGCCACAGAAACCTCCACGGCGATAATATATGAGTAAACACAACACTCCCATTGAAAGGTCACATAATCGACGTTGCAGACGCCAACAAACTCGCAGGCAAAATCAAGATCTCGCCTTCCTTCAACGTCTGAGGCAGATGATAGATCAACGTTGATTAAACGAAAGCTGCATATAACCCTCACAAACCAATAAAACCCACTAAAATATAAACTGTTTATCTACACTGTTGCCTATCACCACAAAACTAATTACAACTCTGACTCAAAACACACACCCATTCAAGTTAACTTTGCTTTCGACAACGTCGGGTACAGTCTCATCCAAAAGCTCGCCAACTCTCCCAGCCAGCCACCGCTGCACTGCCCGCTTCAGATGTATGAACTTGAGTCTGTTACTTCGAACCTTTAGATTCATTCGTATCAGTTTCATGTTTTGTTTGGTACTGAGACAGTTTCAAACATCTGAAGCAAGCAGTGCAGCAATAGCTGGCTGGGAGAGTTAACCAACTTTTGGGCGAGACTGTACCACTAGTACTTATTTATATTTCAAATTCCTAGATTATATTTGTTCCATTTTTTTCTGTTTACAAGGATACTCCATTAATGTATTATCCTTTTTTATTTTTGTCTTTAATTAAACGTAACAACAGAGAAGAAAAACAAAACAACAAAGACAAACAATATTTTCCTCCTCTCTCTCTCTCTCTCTCTCTTCTCTCTCTCTCTCTCTCTTCTCTACCCTTTTAAAGGAGAAAGAAAGAGAAGAAGACAAAAGCGGGGAGAGCAGTTTTTCTCTTTCTCTCTCCAATAAAGAGAGAGAGATAGAGAGAGACGAACTGTAAACACTAGTTATTTTCCAGTCATTGCTGTTCCCCTATTTAGTATTTGACACAGTTTATCAAGTTCCTTCAATGGTTTATTAATTTATGGAACGTTTACATGAATGTCTTTTACACAATTAAAAATCACGTTTATTGTATAGTCTTCATGATAGCAAGAGCTGTTACCGTTACAGGTCTTGCATTTTTCA